TGTTGGAGATGTATAGTGGTGGATCTACTTGGGGGGGGGGGGGGTGTCTAATGCCCTTGAACCCAAAAATTGAGAAATTCGTGCAGAACAAAAGTGACACATGCCTGCAACCCCAACCCCCCCCCCCCCCAACAGCTAACCACCCCCCCCCCCCCACCACCCCAGCAAAAGCTGGATCCGCGCCTAGGATGTCAATTCCCTCTGAAGCATAATAATTATTAATCCCCATAACAAAAAATAATAATCCATGGAAGTGATGTGGGATTGGGTCGTTATTTTAAACACCCCATCTTCCACTAAACTAAAGAAAAACAAAGAGTTTTCTATTTGGGAGAAAGTTTTAGCTTCTCGAAAAAAATTACAAACAAGAAAGGCGGGTCATAGAGCCTGGGTTTACTAACTCCCACCCACTCCTCGCCTCGAGCGACCACTGTTAGGTAGGCTATTCACATAATGAAAAAAACAATAGATCCCTGAATATTAAATGTCATCACTCAATTCTGCAAATCTTGTTCCAGCGCTTTAGGCCTTTGGTTTTTTTTAATGGCTTGACAGAAACGTCTTATCGACCCCCTTGAAAATCTTGGACTGCAACATCCTGACCACCCCTTGGACATTCCTGGATCCGCAACTGCATTCTTGTCGCTTGTAAATGAGGATAACGTTAAATAAGGATAACGTTAAATGAGGAATACGTTAATTGAGGATAACGTTAAAATGAGGATAACATTAAATGGCCATGCAATGTAATTTTTTTAATACAGTTCTTCAAAATACACCTTTGTGTCCCATTTAACTTTATTTTCAATTTTTGTTTTGCCATTTTTGGAGGGTTTTGGTGCCTTTTTTGCTTTTTATGCTTATGCCAATTTCCATATTCACAAGCAAAATCGTGATGTCATTCCAGGCAGAAACGTCAATGTTACAGCTATTTCAGCACAAAAAGTTGCTATTATTGTGGAAATTTTGCTGTCATAAATTGTATTTTCTTTGGTGATTTGTTGCAGTGTAAGTTAATGTCAGTAAGCTAACGAGCAACCCTTTCTCGCAAAAGTTTTCAATGAGCACATTTTGGGTTAACAATTTGAACAGAAACCCCCCTACACTGAAATGACATCACAGCAACAGCGCCCGCAATTGTCCGGAAAAGCATGGAAATGTTTAAATGTTTTTTAAAAAGTGCACTTTTCAATGAAATTAACCAAAACGGGATGTCAAATAGTTTCCATACATTTAAGAGGAGTAGAAAGTTGAACAAAATTTGTTCTAAGAAAAATGTATCGCATGGAGCCTTGAAATGAGGATAACGATTTGCTGTTCTGTTTCAAGAGATGTGTGCGACACTGAGTCAAAAAACTTCTTATCACAAGAAACTCTTCAAAACTAAAGCTGTGGACATATTCATTGAGCGTCTTAAATGGTAATTTATGCTCATATTTAAACATCGTGTAATGTAAAGTTGTGAAAATATGCATACGGATGAAACTATTATTGTTTAAATTGTAGATCAGAAATTCCCCAAGAAAGCGTTTCCCCGCATGTAATTTCGTACTGAAATTCACGAAGTACTCAGCATAACTCGACAGGGAAGAGGGTCTTCAGGTGCAGACCTATATGAATGTTCGATGCTCAAGGTTTCTCGATAACTTTGTGTATAGGGTAAGTAAATTAATTTCACATTACACATAATACAGGCCTATATTTTGTGCATGAATAGCCATGCCTCTGAACTGTATTAAACTCACGGGCAACATTCTGGTTTACGTTACGTTGAGGGTGCTCTTACTCACTATTTACGCTTACAGCGCCCGTGGTATTTATGGACACCTTTAAATAAAGGGTCCATGCGATGAATTGCTGCGAGGAACACATTTTGTGCAACTTTCTACTCCTCTTGAATGTATGAAAACTATTTGACATCCCTTTTTGGTTGATTTCTCTTTAAAAAAAAATGCACTTCTTTAAACATTTTTAAAATGTTCATGCTTTTCCGAGAAAAAAAAATGAAGTCTCTGTTACTATGATGTGTTTTTTTTTTCAGGAAGACACTGTTCAGTTTAGGGGTTTTCTGTTCAAATTATGGACCCAAAATTTGCTCATTGAATAGAGTGTGTGAGAAAGGGTTGCTCATTGGCTTCTACTGTCATGAACTGACACAACAAACATCACCAAAGAAAAGAAAAGAAAAGAAAATTTCATGATAGCAAAATATCCTAAATTCTGGCAACTTTTTGTGCTGCTGTAACATTGCAGTTTCTGCCCGGATGGAATGACATGCACAGTTAGGCTCATTAATATGGAAAATCGCATTAGCATGAAAACCTTTAAGTCCCCAAAATGTTTATGCCCTTGAAAATAGCAAGAAAAAAACGAAAATTGGAAATTTTCAAAGATAGCATTTAAGAAACTTACATTGGCATGGGCCCTTTAGAAATTCATTCCCGACACTCGTTCCTGGTATCCTCTCAATGCTTCGCCTACACCAGCATTTAAAAACTGAGAAAAGCTGGGCTATTAGACAATTTAATTGAAACAGCCGAGAGAAAAAAATAGAAGACTATTAAAAAAAAAAAAAAAATAGGCTGTATTATGAAGACTGGACAAACCGAAATTTCTGTTTCCTTCAATGCCAGTGCTAAGGTTTATTACCCCCCCCCCCCCAAGCCAACGGCGGATCCAGGGGGGCCAACGGGGTCATGCCCCCCCCCCCCCTAAAAAAAATATTAAGTGACGTCGCAAAAGAGGCAGCCACTGCGTACACCACCATCTTTTGCTAATAAATTGGTTAAAGTGGTCAAAAATTGCCTCAGATCGCACAACATGCAGAGCATCTAGAATCCAAACATTTTCCGGGGCCCTTAAGCGGGCCCCGAACCCCACGCTGTAAATTTTCGAATCAACTTTTTGGGGAACAAATTTGTTTGCCCCCCCCCCCAAAAAAAAAATTGTGTTCTGGATCCGCCCTTGCCCTCAGCGACGCCACGGAGTTCGTTCAGAGTTTGCTCGACTTTCCCTTACTACAGCGTGTCCAAATAAACATTGTGTCCAAATTGTGCATGAAGAAATCGCTGATTATCTCAAAAGTTGGTCAGACTATAGCTAATCAAATTTTATAGCATTTTCAAGCCTAATGTCTTTTTAGGCCTATAATTGGAGAACAAAATCAAGAAAATCCAAAGATGCAAACCAGAGATATCTTTGATTTGGTAAAGCTATGTATTTTTTACCGGTATACAATGTCATTTCCACACTTAGCATTTGCTTGTATATACAAATTGTTGGGTTATTGGTATGTGTTACGCAGTGTTTAAATATTGCATGGCCTTTATGTACTGAAGATTTTATTTGTAAATAAATAAAAGAAGAAACAGCATAGCTAGAGGGTGTTTATTTGATTGTTCATCGAAGAAGATTATTCAAAAACACGTGGTAACTGCTTTAATTTCAAATTACTCGAGCGTCAATGTTGTATAGACCCTTTTGACGTTCTTTGTTAACGTGCGTACTGCATGATTCTAATTGTGCAGGAGGACAATAATATAGCCTCACAAAATCAACGATATCTCTGATTTGCATTGATGGATTTTCTTGATATTTTCACCAATTATAAACAAGACCATAGGCTTTGAAATAATATAAATTGTATTCGCTAGTATTACCACCTTTCGAGCAAACCAGCGACTTCTTCATGCACAATGTTTATTGGGACACGCTGTATATTCATGAACTTTGTGTGACATATAGATATGAGTTTATGTCTTGCATATCGGCCCTTGTACATTCATGAAACATAATTGATATCTATTGAGGAACTCAAAAATATTAATTTAATGGCACTTAGATAAGTAGGCCCTAACTGTTATTTTTTTTCTTATATTATTTAAAATCAGTTTGCTAAAAATGTATAAACTTGCGTGAAACGTTTACTGGTGTCATGGCGGCCCCACACAATATGACTTAGAAAAACGTGATCTTCCCAGACATCAAGGAATCAAATTCAAAACGAGGATCCATTAATTTCTCCATATTTCTTTAATAACTGGAAAAACAAACACTGTCGTCTGTTGGCTGGACGATGTGGCTCATTTCTCCAATCCCGCGCCTTATAACACGCGTATTATTTATTGTTGTCAAACTGAAAGAATGGCTGAAAAAGAGTATCTCGTTCTGGTGTGTGACAGTATATGCCTATACAGCACATCTGTGGAGTTACTTAAAAGACATTAATAATGGGCACCACTGCTCCTTTAACCTTTACAGTTGTACAGTATTTAATTAATTAATAAAAACCCTTTCTCGAGTAAGCAACTCATAATTTTCCTTTTTTGTGATCATCCGTAATTTTTCATTATAATTCAACTTGGCCTGGCCTATACTATAGTCTATATCGTTCCGTGTGTGCACAGAATAGATGGGGGGAAATGGATTTTGTCAGGAATTTATAGAGTTACATGTAGTTGATAACACTAAATTTTCAAGCGTTATTGGCTGACTCATGACATAGCTATTAGGCCTCACTCTACATTTAATCATGAAAACAAAATGGATTCTATAGAGCCAGAGTTAATCAAAACATCTATTGACTTTATACATTGACAGCGGATAATTATCCAATTCAATTTCATTTCAGGGCACGGTGCCCCTAACATTTCTGTGTCCTCATCTTGGCAACTTATACAGTGGAAATAAAAGACCGTCCGACGATTTCACCCGAGTTAATCCACGGGTATAAGAATTTCTTGTAAGAACCTGCCGACTTGTACATGTTCTAGACGTTTTACAACTAGAGCAACCGGTGTTGGTTATAGGGGGAGGTGAGGGGCCATAAAACCCGGGCCGGCTTTTGACACGCTAGGCACTCCTCTGGTGTCCACATCAAAGGCCAGCTTTACCGCCGTTATTGTTACCAGCCCTGGAACGTGCCATAAAGTTGATAAAGGGTCGCGAGGGGATCGAGGTAATCAAGCAGGGGTGGGGGTGCACAAAAAGAGATGACCACATCAGATATTAATGCACGGATCTACCGGTGGTAGGTATACATGCAATCACGTGATGCTATCAATTTGATATACGACAGTGGAGCGTCATACGGCGGTGTTGTACGGTGCGTGCGACAGGTACACTCGACCGTCAACTGGCATCCTCGCATAACCATCCAGCCGAGAAGAGAAGAGACAGATATATCAACACATGAGGATCGATCGATCACCCGAGCCGTACTCCAACCACAGCGACCTCTCACGCGCCTAATATTTGTCGAGTTTGGTTGTGTCGAGTTTCAAGTTCAGTACAAGGTCACTGAGGCAAGTCGGACAGGTTGTCCCTCGTCTCATACGTACATGTACTGAATACCGTGATTTTTGGCTTTGCAGAGTAGAGAAGAGACGGTACACACAACCAGCCTTCATCAAGCTAGAGTCCAAATGATGCAGATCGGTATGGAGCAGGGCTGGTCTCCAGCCCGACCGACCAACACGGATAGCTGTGCCGCCGAGTACCGCGGCTATGCCACGGCCACTGCCGCAGTCAACGGCTTGTACGCCGCCACCAACCGCCCCCGTAGTAGCTGCAGCTCACTGAGCGTCAGCCCGGACCAGGCCGTTGCCTACCCGTACCCTACCTCGTGTTATACCTCGGAGGCTACACTGACACACACGGACGACTTGTCACCGGTTGGTGGGGGAGCATGGACCGGGCCTGATCGGCAATTCACCCATCACCATCAACCCCGACCGTCCTATCACCACAACGGGTTTAGTAAAGCTCCGTTCCTAACCGCAGTATCAGCAGCTTCTGGAGCCACGCATCCACACGCTCACCAGCAACAGTACCTAACAAGTAATGGGTTCGGCTCCAGCTACGGTTTTCACAACTCACCCTACCCACTTGACATGACAGGTAAATTTAACATTTAAACATATTTAAAACATTGTCCGACCATAGGTCTATACTTGTTCCTCGACTAGTACATATGATCTTTATTACTGGGAAGTGCAATACTTTATTGTGTACGAATTCTTGAATTCCTAACAAAATTAGCCAAATCATACTAGTCACAAGAACACGGAAAAGGACGAACTTCACAATGGACAAAGTCATCATGAGATAATCTCTTTTTAATACACGTATCGGTACTACGTTTCCCCGCATATCTGACCGATTCGTTTCCCCCGCAGTTGTCAATATTTCTTCGGCAATCTCCCGTTTCACCGTATTAACGCAATTAATATGTCAGCGTTTTCTACTGTTTATTTCGTTTACAGTCGGAGTACACACTCGTGAATTCGTTTATTTTTTATAATGGTGATCAAAGTTGGATGGATCTGATCTCAAACAAAAACAAACGCAATAGAGCTTTTTTTTTTTTAATGTAATTTGGAAAAGATTGGCATATGTGAATTCAAAAGTGTGCGTCAAATACAATTATTAATTTTTTTAAAAAGAATCAGTCACAATCAAAATCCAAAATCAAACAATTTGCCATAATTAAGGACGTTCCCTAATTGGAATAAAAAACACGGCTCCCTAATTACTTTTTAATTTTAATCTTTAAATGTATTCTTCAATTTTTAAGCATTATATTTGTGGTCTTTTCAGCTAAGCTACAACCTCAGGTTTCAACAAAGTCATTAAAAAACTTTTTAATTTTTTTTTTTTTTAAAAACCTGAAATTCAAACCTATTTTTAATATCCAACAAATATTAATTCCTCATCGGTCAATCAGTAATTCATGAATTGACGGCCAAAATATAATCATGACGGATATCACCTTGACAGATAAAAGAAAAAAAACGGTAAGCCCACTTTCATTTTACGAAATGAAGAATTCTTCGCAAGGATATGCGCTTCAAATTAAATGGGCTCCATGAAAAAAAACAGCTAATGCAAACTTTAACCATACAAAAGCAAGTAATTCATATTTGTTACATACCTTGAGTTTTTCAATTGATTAAAATAATGGCTTGCTAAAATAGGACAACTTCTCGCCAGCTTTACTAAGCATGCTCTACGGTTAAAAGATAATTCACTTTTCCCCACTTTGAGGATGATGTCAGCAGGCGAAGCCCCTTAATTTCTTTTCGGAAGTGTGAGGTGTGAAACGATAATCATACCGCCGGAAACTTATTCATACCCAGTGTGGTCGTGATACGTCATGCGTGATAACCCCAACATGATCTTCGTTAATGCACGGCGGATTTGCTTGCTTGCTTACGTATGTGAAAAGCACATTTTTTTTGGTCTCATCATTAGTACCCTTGAACTTACTAGAAGTATCATGAGTCAGACCGCTTATAGTCACGAGACACTGTACAAAAATGTATTATGATAATGCTTCTCTCAGTCTGACAAAACATTGATCCAACTGTGTTTAAGGGAGTCCCTTGATTATTGATACACATTTTTTTGCTTGCCACAGGCACGAAATCTACCTGATGTAGTTTTCACTTTATTATGATCACATCAGTTTTGAGCGTGTTCTTTTTTTGTTTTCATTTGAAGCAACAAAATTCCTCAAAGTCTTGATTAGAGTGCAAACGGCTAACCTGTTGTAGTTTCGGCTCAGTGGATGCTGTAAACTTTCTTTAAAAATAGAAAAAAAACTCTGCAAATATTTTGGTCCAGTGGAATATTTTGGTTCCGTCAGTACGCTACATTACGTTTCAGAGGTTGCCTTTTCATATTTTGAATTGGACCCTCTCGTGTACATCCTGAATCCGCGCTCGGGACATGATTCTCATTCAGCCGGGTTAAAGTCTGCGTTACATTGAGGTCCCAGTAGATGTGTAATTTTCGCAGTATTTAACAAATAGTGTCCAATATTTAAACGAACATGTGCCTGCTGGCACTTTTAACAAATCACCTTCAATAATTATTTTCTTTTAAACGACACCTTGTTAGTGGGAATAAGTTCACAGAATATTTGAAATATAGTCCCTTCTTCCCATTGAACAAGGCTTTCCTCATGAAATTGGTAGGATCGTTTTCGGGTATTAACAGTGTTCCTGCATGCCTTTAACCATGATTCAACAAGCAAACTTGAACATGTACAGATTGTGTTAATAGACTGTGGTATTTTTAATAAAGGGGAGATGGTTGAGATTTGGACCGACTCACCTAGGTATCAGTCTTCCAAATGTGTCATTTCAAAACTGATATGAAAAGGAAAGAAATATTGAGGTAAAAAACTACCTCTCCCGAAAAATGTTTTTTCTGGGTTACGATTTCAACTTCATACGGAGGGTGCTCAGAAATTATCTCATGAATAACACTGCATGGATATTTTCAGACATGCGTCAACAACGAGCTTTTGGATCCGTCAACAAGGATCCAATTAGTTCGTGTGGATTAGATTCCGCAGATACAATGTCAGTAAATTAGCTGTGCCGGCTATGCTTGAACATACGTGTAAGGCTATAAGGCACTAAATCAAGGCTCATCGGCCATGCTGTTTGTTTCGGCGATCGCCCGTAAATCTTCAATCCAATATTGTTAGCGAATTCGCATGTTTTAAGCTAGAAGTGGGGAAGTTTTATAGAATGTCGCTATTTGATGAGTACAAAGAGGTTTTTTAATGCTATGTTATGCATTCGGATAAGTTACATTGGTGAAATGTTTAGATTCGTGTTCATGCACAAAACATGAATAGACAAGTCATGATACATACATGTTCCACACGCGACTCAACTGTGCACTATCACGGAGAAATCATTTACTTCGAAATATAAAATTTAAACTCCACCAAATGATATGTTATGATGTTTTTTTCTGGGTACATGTACATGAATATACCGCATACGTTGACACGTCTGCTTAATTCATTAACGATATTTTGTGCCGTTGACATAAAGGCCCACACATAACGTTTAATCAACTCACTTGTTTGTCAGTTGGTCATTAATTTTATTTTGGGTTCGCGGAAATTTAGTGTGCTTCCGACCGCTATGCTCGATCGGGGCGTGCCTGCGGTTGGCAACTTTGTTCCCCCTGCAAACGAGTATTCGACCCCCATGACTTGCCCCCAATGCCGTACATGCAATTAAGGTGAAAGTGTCGTTCTGCTATTTTGTTTTTTCATGCAAGACTTTTTTTTTAGATTTGGGGTTCTGACATTTCTGTGAAGAAAAACAAAATCGGCTAAATGAGTTAGGCATTTGTAATATTTGACTTTTAAAAACCGTTTAAACTTTTGCAGCTAGAAATAGTCAGCATTCCAGTTTTTCATGGAAAGCTGACGATTTTTAGGATTCGTTGTCACAGCTGAGGGCTGCAACTTTAAAAACACAAACTAACAAATATAATTTCTATGCATATGTTTGTGTACAGTAAAAGGAAAATGACCTTGCTCAGAGGCACACGGCATTGTAAAGTGTGGTCACTAAAAGGTTAATCAGAAAGAGTTCTGTATATAAAGTCATCTCTATACTTATGACCGTGAAAATATAACCTGTCACTATATACAAACGATATTAGGCCAGTCTTCTATAGATTTGTGTCACAAAAGGGGTAATTTTAACAGTTAATGTGTGTCTGTAAATGGGACAAAATAAAAATCGCCCTATTTGATGTGGTAACTATTTTAATGCTTTGACCAAGTACAAGTGGTTGACACCTCGTTCGTTTGTTCATTCAGATGTAATGATTAGGCTTATACCTGCGAAGTTGTGGCTTCATAAAATCATCATAAAGTAGTTAACATTCTCGTTATCCACTCAATATTCAAAACACATTGGAAATCCATATCGTTACTCAATCAGAGTGTATTGAATTGAATAGGACTCATACAGCCTTGCAGACGCACCTGTGCACGTTATGATATTCAGTGCAGTACGAGCAGTCTTGCTGAGCGAGTTAATCCCCCACGTCCCCGGCCGTCCCAGAGCGCGCCTGGCAGGCCTGTCTTTTATCCCCCTGTCCGGTCCAATTCAACCTTAGCGTAAACAATGTCATTTGACTGCTGCATATAATTGCACTTTGTCGCTGACTAGTAATCCCTCTAATTACTATTGTCACTGGACACGGGAAGGGGCGGGAACTCCAACTGATCGCTCGGAACACTTGGAGGTTTGGTTTTGTTCTGGGGAAATTATTCAGTTGGGGAGGGGGGGTTGTTAGTGAATAATAGAGGAGAGGGTTTGTCGTATTTTCAGAATGATGGATATGAAAATATACAATTAATTGCTTGGTCATTAAAATGTACGTTGTAAAAGGTAGATATTTTTTTAAGACGAACTAAAAAGTAAGGCTATACGTATACATGAGGGCTGTTGCCGCTGTTCAAGTATCAGTCATGCCCCTTTAAAGAAAAAAATCAGCCACAAAAGGGTATTGACAAAAATTCGTCTATTTTCTGCACTGAAAGTTTACGAGCCTTTTCTGGAGGGGGTCAGATATTTATGTACACCTCTTGGACGGTTGTCGTTCTAAACATTTTAAGGTTTACATATTACATGAGGATAGCCTACAAGAAGAACTACCCTATAAAAATTTTGAAAAAAAAAGTGGCGCTTGAAGAAATGATATTAATTTTACAGAATTAGTATTTGTTAACTACTTTTTTTTCGCTGAATTGCGGTCAAATGCACGTGGAGACAGCGCATGAGGATGATATCTGACAGAAAAAAATCATTCCATGTTTGAGTACCAAGTTCTCACCTGGAAGCTGTGTGGTGTATGTGACCGAAGGTTACAAAACAAGTTTCATGCTGTATTAAGCTAATACATGTAGTTATAAGGAGTAAAGATACTAAGTTTTGAATCGAAGGCGCTTCAAATTTCAAGGCCGCACAAGATGATTATTCATCGTATTTCAAGAAACTTGCCCCACTTCAGATCTTATCTTTACTCTTTCATGAACCGAGACAGTACGCCAACATGTCGACCAAGTTGCTGTGTAGGGTCATTGAGATTTACTTCTCACAAAGAAATTTTAAGAAAAAAATGGCGCTTAGCCAATGAAAGTCAGTGAAACATGGTGGATATCTCCCTATAGTCATAACCCAAGGATGATCAAGGCATATTATGGTGTTCTACGTGAAATTCAAAACATTTGTAACGGTAAAATAGTATTGCCTACATTAGTGCAATGATCGTAAATGAAAAAGAAATGTGTCGAAATTCTGTAACTAGTCGCTCGGAGAATATCCCTGGAGCGCATGTAATGCTATTATAGGTTTTCATGGGAAACTGCAATAAGTTGAACTGCTGTCCTAGTTTCTCTCAATTGGGGCGGGGGATAACTTTAATCGCTCCAAGCTACAAGTATTGCACAATTGCTAGCCCTGATAATTCTCGTGGTATACTATTGTATTGATCATAATTACCCGCTGATGTAAACTTGAATTAGTCAACCCCAGCAAAGGCTGGGCAGATATACATGTAGCCACCAAACTAATTTGTTTGGGGCTGGGAGCTAAATTATATGTGAATAATCAATCAGTTTATGAGCCTCCAGCATAATATTTCGTCAACAGATTCATCAACACGTTAACTCCTCCCAGATAATTATTTTGTTCGGTCAGAGACGACCCCTTTTGAAAGGCTTCACTGGCCCATAGTTGGTTAGCCCTGTTATCCTTGTCCATAATTGTAATGAGCAAAATAAAATATCCCAAAAAAGGGAGAAAACACGCGGGTAATCACTTTCACGGCCATTGCGTTTCCACTGTCTGGAATGCACTTCGTCGTGATAGCAAAAAAAAATCAGTTAGTTTTATTTTTCCATCACGGAGAAAAATGAATTGCCAAAGGCTATTGATTTTGTTCACTTCCATTTAATGAAAAACTTGGAACTTTCTGGAATACAAAAAGCTGTGGATGATTTGTGACCTAAAGCGCACCGCAGGGGCCATGCATCTGTTGTTGCATGGTTGGTCTCACTCGATGCCAAGTACAACAATGACAGTCAGTTTTCCGTGGTTCTGTTGTCAATAAGGGCAGACCATCTATTACCCCACATTTCAATGATAATTTGGAGTATGCAAAGTGTATGCAATGCCATATATCACCAAGTGTTTTGTTCTGCACGGGTTCAGTCCGAGGTTTTGGCGTGTGTAGTTAACCGTGGCAAGCTTGCAGGCAACTGCAGGAAATGTATGCAGTCAACAGAAACGGTAAATCACAGTTGTGATTTTGAGACGACGATTATGTAAATTGACAGGCGTGAAAGAAGTCAATTCTTTTATAAAATGTCGATCAAGGCTACAATCTTTAACCATAATGAAGAGTTAGCTTTCAAAACAGACGATGCAAACTATGCAACAAAGAAATTCATAGGCGCGCTGCAAAATCTTCATTTTCTGAACACAGGGTGCGAGGGGTGTTTTTTCCTTCTTCTCGCGTTGATATTTTGCGTGCATGTTAGTATACAATAGCTAGAAGGTAAACGAATACTTATTGATATTGTATAAAATAAAAAAAACAATCGCTGCTCTGGCTAAGAAAGCGGTTTCACTTTCCCGAGCTGCTTTCCTTCAGAGTTTTTTAACATTCAAAATATTGTTTTGTCTCAATTGAAAATGTGTGCACATCTTCCCATGCACCCTAATACCCAACAACAAGGAGTTTTCAGGTTCGTATAATACCCATCATTCAAAACGCAATTCAGGATTATGAAATTTCCAGACAAACAAATTAACATTGATAAAAGTTGTATTGAATCAGTGATTTAAAAATTAATTTCATCTACATGTAGTCAACCTCATTGGTACAAGGGTACATAAATACTGAAGACACTTTAAAGGTGCATTACTTGATTGATGCAGTCGAGATACGTTGTGTGTGTGGATATGAATGAAAAACGCGTTAGTTATGGTGCATTTTCTAACAATAATTATGAGTATATACAGTTCTTCCTGGGCATGTGCATTTCATAAAAATGCTTCTAATTTCAAAACGTCAGCATTGATCTTTAAAACGTCAGCACTGGTCTTTGTGAAACTTTCTTTTTGATTGATGGTCCCTCATACAAGGTGAAGAACATTATATGATGAAATCAGGCTTTGCACCTTTAAAGGAATAACATGTATCTAAATGTAACTTTTTTATGGAGAAAGTTAGGAATCAGTGAGGCTAACAATTTGGAATGAAGTACACCTTTAGATGGTTAGGTAGGCCTACACCAGCAAAGTTGATTCATATTATTACTGTAAACAGATCATGGAATGATTAAAGCAAAAGTGAGTGTGCTGACTGAACAATTCATTGAAGGAAAACATTTAGACTCAGATCTTGACTTTAATCAAAACAATGATTTTGGGTAATTATGCAAAACATATACATGTAAGTTGAGTCGATGCTGATAAAGTTGGGGTGTTTGAATGTGTTAACAACATCTTACACTTTGTATTTAAAGGGAATATACATCATTTGCTTTTGCTGTAATTTTCAGAAATGGATGGAATTGGGGGGTTGGAAATATAAAGCAAATATAGTTACACTGACTTTTTGGAGGTTTTGGGTTCGAAAATGCTATAAAAACCAAGAAAAACGATCATTTTCCTGTAGTCTGGTTCCCTGACTCCATATAAGAAGAAACAGAGCAGTTTACATACATTGGGGAATTGTAAGGTCAGGGAACCAGTCTAGCTGGCTCGTACCCGTTCATAGGTTTGTAATCGATTGCAAACAAGTACAATGGTCAATTGGGGCCAGTATTTGAAAAAAAGCCAGTTGTTTCCAACGCTGATCGGCCGATCAGCGTTGGAAACTGATACAAAAATACCACTTTTCTTGAAAATGACAGTATACCAGGTGCCATAATTTTACAGGATGCTTTAGACTGTCATTTACCAACATCCTATTAAGGTATTTCGCAGAAACTTGGTAGTTTTATTTTTCGATGTTTGCAAATGTTGTATATTCCCTTTAAGTGGAATCAATTGATTTAAATGGTTAAAATGATCCTAAATCAATGTTGTTTTTAAAGTGTTTAAATCAGTGATCATCAAATAAGAACCATTTGATTTAAATCGTGATTTAAATCAACCTGATTTAAATCAGCCAACCCTGCTTTCCATGTAACCGGATTTCCACCAAATTAGATTTGATTTAATGACACTATTGTTGTAGTCACTGCAAATGTTATTTATTATTTTTATTTTTTTATATCTTATTTATTTGTCTTTGGCAAGACAGAGCCCTCAATTTGTTAATTTCAATTTTTGGCTTTTAGGCTTGTGCCTAAGTCTTTGAAGGGAGGTTCGTTTTCTTGAAATTCACTGGACACATTTAACATCGTGATCGCCCACCCCCCCCCCAAAAAAAAATACAGAAAATGTCCATTTACAAACAGATAATGTAATTCCCTTTTGATACGCGCATGTGGGCCTGCCTATAGGCCCTACATGTATTTTGTGCGGATGCATCTAAATGCTTCTCTCTAAAGTATGCTGGCCATAGAATAACGGGCACATTTTACAGGTATCAATGTAAGGTTTTCGAGTCTCTTATGGTTGGTGAATGTGCATACAAACGGGACAAAGATCGACACACTAAGGACCGTGACTTATTTATTGAAACAAAATTATAGGCCTACATGGAAACACCCCAGATTTACACATTGTCCGAAGGAAAAGCACCGATTGCGCTCCATCGCCCTACCGTACAAAGGTGGCTGCATGCGGTCGGGCACACACCGACAAGCACGGTCAGTCCGTGCTCAGTCGTGTTGGGTCGTTCTAAAACACACAATAAGTCTTGCGTGTTGCAACCGAAGAAACGCAATCTTATCTGTAATACCTCTGCAAAAATATTACTTTAGGTCGAACATGTATTTCATATGTTTGGAGCATTTAATATCAAACCAAACAAATAAAATTAGTATTTGGATGTAAAATTCTACAAAATAACATTTATCTGTTGCTTTCTAGAAAAAGAAGGATCATGTATATTCGATAGAAAACCTTGTAGAATTATGCTGTATTCGAGAGAAAAAAAAATCATTTAAACTCGTATTACATCTCGAATGAATTCAAGATACATGTACCTTGATGATAATATTCTTCTACCGAGATAGGAAGTAGTATGAATGAAACAAATTGAAATTGCTTGAAATATCATAGGTGAAGTTTAAATAGGCTAAAATGTCACGTCGTTCAATGCGATATGCAAATGGTTTGAAATGAAAGCTGAGCTTGCTTAAGCGTTCAGTGACGATTGACTGGGAAATCCGATGTTTGATTTACTGTTATCAGTCTAGTGCGTAATTCGATCATTCATTGCAATTCCTCTTTAGGAAAATTGGCTGGTGGATATATCTCATATTCTAAATTACGCATCAAATTTTCGGAAGTGGAAGGAAAATGCGATTCATATTTTCATAATTGAAAGACATCATCATGATAAGCTGATGATATTATCATGACATCAACTTTCAATATCATTATTTTTTTTTGTCGTGGTCTTCCTTGCAGGTGGTGCCTCTTCCTGCAGTTTGCTTGCCACGTTCACAACCACACCCAGACGAACCAAGCGACGGCCCTACTCCAAGTTCCAGATCTACGAGTTGGAGAAGGAGTTCCAGGCCAATATGTACCTGACGCGGGACCGGCGCACCAAGCTCTCCCACTCGCTCAGTCTCTCCGAACGCCAGATCAAAATCTGGTTCCAGAACAGACGGATGAAACTCAAGAAGATCTCTGAGAAGGAGAAGAAGGGAACGGGGTCGGAGTCGAGCAAAAAGAAGCAGACGCCTATCGTGTCTAGTCCGCTTCATCATCAACAGCAGCAGCAGCAACACACGGGGAGCCACGCTCACGGTGCCCAGCACGGACTGAACGGCCTATCGCACCATCACCATCAGCACCCGGCACATTCAGGGGCGATCACACACAGCAACGGACTGGACCGGTGAACAACCGCGTACAACCATAGGACACACTCAGACTGGTTGTGCTATTCGTTTCTTCAGACTTTAAGGTGTATATATACGTGTAGTTTTCAGCAACTGTTTTAGAAGTGGCTCCGTGTCATTGGACTAGTGACTGAGAAGTTGTGAATAATTTAAACTCATGTAGAAAAACACGTGGATTAGGTGTTTTTTTGGTATTTCCTTTGGGTTTCTAGAAAGAGTTATGGATCGCTGTTTGCCTTCAAAGACTAGTGTTCAAAGACACTGTCTTTCATGCAAAAAATAGGTAAGAACAACTAATAAGATCCCCCCCTTCTTTTTAAAGGCATTATTCAATTTACGGACACAGTTGTTGTGTAAAAGGAGAGACCTTTGTCTTTTTGACAATTTCAAAAATACACACCGTTTTGGGTGACGCCATACATGTCTCTGCCTGAATGCAGCCGTGCAAGTCCCTTACAATTTGGTCAGGGGAAAATAAGGAATCCAACCAAGAATGGAATCGCAATTAATCTTTCAAATTATCCACACTATATGGGGAGATACATGGCTATGTAATCCGTGTTGAAGTGTCCGTATTACATGTATATATAGGAAAACAGTTTTTTCTGATTATTTCACCAATCGATTTGAAATTGCTTTGTCTGGAAAATTGAACAAAATCAGCATGAACATGTACATTGATTTGTTTCATTGTTATAAGGGAAGGTGATTGGTATTAACCACTTCTTATGTCCTTGCGTTTTTCTCAGCATTGGTATCGAGTAAAAATTAATATAGTCGTGCACTATTTTTTTTAATTACCTGGGTTTTGTATAGTGCAGTCTTCATGACAACTATACATACATGTATAGCAGTCGTTCGTCAATACACGTTCGTCAGTCTGTTTACAACTCAGAATATAAAGATAGCAACAGACAACAAAAAGAACAAACTGACATTTAATCTCAAGCACTCACTATTAAGTTTAATCGTCCATGCATGATAACCCTATAAGCAGGAACGACATAAGACGCTTAAAGTCGGTGGCTATTTCCCCTCCTTTCTTTGGTAGGAAGACACAATGTTTAGGGAAAAGTTGAAGTCTTGATGTCGATGTTTGGTATACCTGTACATGTATACATGTGACTGACGAATTCATTCAGTTGTTATCCAGGGGCGGATCCATGCGGGGGTGGCTAACCACCTTCAGACTGACTAATGCTAATTATTTACATAGGGGGAAATGTCAGTTTCCTTAATTTCCCTGAATACTGAATAACGTCATAACTCAAAAAAAAAATGCAAATCGTGATTTATTACTTTGGACACTTTGGTCATTTGTATGCGTTGACTTCAACGCCCCATCTAATCCAACCCCCTCCCCCCTAAAAAAAACCCAAACGTTTTGGACTTCAAATCTCCAACCACCCCCTTTATAATATCCCGGATGTTACATGTATCTCAAACACAGTACATTTAATTGTAATTTTATTTTGAACACGCACGGTTTAGTTGAAAACATGCAATTAGAGTAACGATTAAAAAATCGAAAAGTCGGGCTTTTTACGTGATGCTGCTGGACAATAAGAACATTTTCAGAACTTTTTTTATATTTCTGATCATGTCAATCTGTCTTGGGATATACTTTCCTTGCTTGCAAAGATTTTTCTATCTCGACATTTGACAAGATAGTGATTGACATTAAAATGAGGAACTGATAGCGGGAATTTAAATTCATTTATTGTTGTAATTTGTAACGAGGGTAGTCCATTTCAGTTAAAAAAAACTGTTTTCCAAAGGAGCCCTTCGGAAAGTGTGATATACATGTAAAAAGAAACATATGCGGTAAACAATAAGGGTATTCATCCTGAGTTTCCAAAAAAGTCTCAAGCTTCCATCAGAAAAGTTATTTTTCTGACAGCAAAAATAATTCTGCCAAATGCATCATTTGCTTCTGTGTATTGATTGTGAACTTTAATAGGTCGGGTCATTCAACAGATAAATCATAGAAACGGATAAATTAAACAGATAAATGTATGTCCTCAACATACAAATAAATCTGAACTGTAAACAATCACTCATCAAAAATGTATAAAATTAAGGTACAAATGTAGAACGGGACTTTAATGTACTTTACGTTTTAGTATAGCGTACGGGTATCGCAAAAATCTGTCCGTTCGTCTAAGAGGTGGGCGTGGCTTCAAGAAGGAGGGTGGTTATAATTCTCCTTAGCATACACGTTTATGAAAATAAATAACCAATAAAAAGAAACAAAGATGAAGAATCGCATTCTTGAACGTGTTACCGGAAATCTAAAACTTTATGTACATGTAGCCTGAAGAAAGGAAAATATCGATATAACACATCCACTCTCTAAATTCCAAAGAGTAAAATTAGGGACTAGACTTTCTCGAGTAAAAATCGCTCTCATTTTCGATTGAAATAGTCTGAAAAAAAGAACCATACACTTCAGTCGAAGCTCGAGTGAAAACTCGATCTTTACGATTCAAGAAATTTCACTCTAAAACGTCTAGTCCCTATAGTTTCAGATTTTGGGAGTGAATCTTCACTCGAAAGGAGTGAATTTTCACCCTTCGGAATTTAGAGAGCATTAATTTGGGCCCAGTGATTGAAATGCAACGCATTTTATGATTTAAGAAAAAAATACATGTAGGCTACTACTAATGATCAATGCATGAGTTACGATAAGACCTTTTCGAATGTTTTGCCTGTGCGTTGTATCCGTTGATAGTTAATACAGGTGGAATTTCGAAACAAAATATTGAGGGTTTTCTCTGTTTCCCACGAAGAATATGCCATACATGTACAACACCGTGTGAAGATTCGTGTCGATGTACATATTACGTGTGTATTCCCATTTTTCTTAATTTGGAGAATCGTGTCACTTGACAGTTTTCTGTAAATTTATGAAGTGATTGTAACGTATGTATTATACGAATGGATTCTTTCTCCATGCACATAATATATTTATGACAGCATGAACGTTTGCACATTGTACATAGTTCACATTCATTTTAGTATGAAGTATTGGTGAGGGTTGTGGCTGATATTGGTTTCTGTCTAAAGATCAATCTTTAGCGGGATGTGGTCATGCTTTGGCAGATGTTTTCAGTAACACATATTAATCATTCGGAATCATTTATGTGCAGTCGGAGAAAGACAGTGGGTTAACGTGTACATGAAATAACATTTCTATATACTCATGCGGGACTAAGTTAATCCGGAATGTTAATTCGAAGCACATCGTTAGTGATCTACATTTTTTCCCACATTTACTAAACTTGCATCAGAACCATGTCAATTTACGGTGATTCTTTGAGAATTTCTGTAAGTGTGTATGGATGGGTCTTGGGTTTTTTTCAATGTGTATTATCACTTAACAGGTGATAAACAAAATCGTAAGGAAAACTCATTTCCAAGGGATGCAGATCTGAATATGGTCCCACAAGGAACAAGTCAGATATTTTGTGTTCACCCTCGGAGTTCCCTCTGCAAAGTCGCCATACTGGGACCGGTTTCACGAAGTCGCAAAGCATGCACTGCGCTAAGCGGAAAATCCATGTCGCTCAACAGATACATTTGGTTAACCGCAGGAGGTCGGTTTTAAATCAAATCCGTTCCGGAAGCCAATGGGTCTATAGAGGTATTGAACTCATTGATTTATTTATTTCAAAGTAAGAATAGTTAGAAATGAATTAAAATACGTCTTTTTAAATACCTTATATGCGCTCTTCTTACACTGTTAAGTGTTGTAGTCACATTTGACGAGAGGCAGAATCAAGCAAAGCATTTAAGCGGCACCCGCGGTACAACTGAAACTCAGTCAAAACAAGTACATTGTATGTTTCCAGCGTTATCGAATAGAAAATCTACGTTGAATGCTTTCCATAGCCATTATACATTATGTCATTTTCCTGTCAGTATTTTTACCATATTGTTTACTAATCGCCGCCAATCATTTCCCGTCATTTTTCCCCAATAAAGAGAAGATATGGTGGACATTTGTATGTTCACAATTTGTATGCATTTTGGTAATGTAAATTAAGTTAACTGTTTTGTTCTCGAAATGTACACGATATTTGTGCGGTGAGAATAAAGTAATGAACATTTATATATCTGAAGAATGGTACTGTATTTGAAATGACCTTATGTTTGTAAAATTAAATTTCTAACAGCGTGACTGTGAAAACGACGGATTAATAAATGAAGGCATCAAACCGAATTCCTTTTGATGTGGAATACAATCTAACTGTACAAATTTATAAGGATTGAATCAGTAATGTCACTTTTATTTTTAAGCTCTGGCAGAAGGTTCTCACTAGGTGGTCGGTCTGTCTGTCCCCGGAAAATTGACCAAAATAAGCCCCTAAGTTTCCCATAAAATACAACTACCAAATTCTAATTTTCTAAAAAAGCAAACAAAACAAATTAGATACAGTCGAGCACCTTTTTAACAAGGTCCTTGGGCTTTACAGATTACCTTGTTATAACAGGTACCTTGTATGTAATGGAAAACAAAGAAAACAAATATTTGGGACCTACAATTTTCCTTGTTATAAGCAGGATGTTGTATTAACAGTGCTCTTCTTATCAGTGTTTGACTGTGTTTAACCAAAATTGTTTGTAACAATTCGGAAAGATATGTATGAAAAGTTTGTAAATGGAGGCAAAATATGTACAGTAATGTCACATGGTATTATCACAAATCGCTATAAATGTATAAATCTAAAGTATTTTTTAGAGCTTATTGTGCAGTCGCACTTGTTTTGTTTCCGTTTCAAATTTTCAAATTTCAAATTCCGTTGCTTGTTGTTTTGTTGCTCGTTGTATATGGATTTCTCTTCTATCAGGGTTTGACGTATATTGTAAAGATATCTCTACAAACAAACGAGTGTTTCCCTAAACTTCAGGGAAGACGAGTGTGCCGAAGAAGCTTGTTGTCAAAATGGTATTATTTAAAGATTGTCCTTAATTTTACACTCTAATTAATTCTACATGCATGTACATTGTATATTGTATACCGTGCTCCATGGTATAACCGAGTAGGTCTGTCCCTACATTTCTGAGATTTAGGTCTTCATACAAGCATTCTTCAACTAACTCTCGTCTGAATTGAAATCGCATGGTAGTACAATCGGATGCACATGTGTTATACGGTATAGCGATGATTCACGACTGCAGCGGCGTCCAGGCGTGATATTTCAATTTGGCGGCGACGGTTGTTATCCACGCCCCCCATTTCCCCCCACAGGGTACACACGGGGATTCATTATACTACGACGTGTCAAGGGCGATATCAAGATAAAGTGAAATGGGCCATTGGGTCAAACGTTGACGTTAAGTATTTATTTGAAATAAGACTGGAGCTACATTCTAAAATCAAGTGGATGTGTTCCCTGCAACTGATGGTTAGGCCTGCATGTAAGTAATAGTCAGAAATATAAACTTAGCCGTGTAGAACGGCCGGACCGGTCTTGTGTAATACATGTAACACTAATTCAGCGATGCAAAAATTTCCCAAAATAATTCAAAACGAATCGGAACATAAACGATTGAATATTTCAGAGGAATACATGTACATGTACACGGTAAACGTTTCTCAGAACTCAGCGTGTAACAGTTGCGTGTATATGATCACCGTCCCTGAACGTCAAAACAAAATGGTCGTCATGTAACCTCACATTTAATCCAACTTAACCTTACATGTAGGCCCTACTCAAACTTAAAGGCCGTCGAATGATTTCGTGTTTGCATTTAGGGCCGATACATTAATCACCTGTTTTTCTGAACATACTTGTAATGACATTCGATGGTCTCCGGGGCTACATGCACGCGATATTCATATGCCACCACCGTGCAGCTTGTGTCCACGAGCAGGATAGTTTGTAATGTGCGCCTTTGGTTCTCCCGAGACTAGTTTGGTAAGTGTGATTAATAATGCTTGATAACACCAATATAATTGTTATCAAATAATTCCTCACTTTGGCATATAGACTGAAGCGTTTTTTCTCAATTGGAAAAAAATATTATTGTAACATGCTACAGATGGGAAATAAAATATAATTAACATCGCTATACTAATAAATAAAAAATAATTTAAATAAAAATTAAACATCTTGGAGGCGTTTGGATAATCATCATAGACCCCATCCTTCCCTTCACCAACCTTTTGTCAGTGTCGTATACCCTGTCATTTCTCCAGGTTTCAAACAATTTGGAATTCATTTTCAATCATGACTAATTTGATTCACAATGGATCTAGTAACTGACAAGTAACCTGGCAAAACAAATCACAATGTAAAGCTGAATAAAAAAAAAATCTCGAAGAATAAGAAGAGTTCATTTAGAGACAAAATGCTGGTCCACTGCTTTTA